ACAGGGAGTGTTCTGTTTAGACATGTTGCTGTCATGGGCTCCATTCTTAAGCATTTTTGAAGCTTGTCCCTATGATGAGTAGTAGCAGGTCGAGTATAAGTGATGAAAAATAAGAGCAAAACATATAACCGGAATATATATATATATTTCATGTGAAGTTTGTTTGTTTTTATGAAAATTAAACTCTTTTTAGAGGATGGATCCGGAGGGAATATAAATTGCTAGTGTAAAAGTCGTAGTTACACGTCATCTGGGGTGGTGACAATTTTCCTGGAAAAAGAAAGGGAAAATATTTATGAGGTTTGAATTTGAGCAAGTGTACGATTTTAGATGTAGAATGATTGTGACTTTGAGGATTGCTACTCCAATTCTCTTTCATTTTTATTTTTCGGTTTCATGATTTTCTTTTAATTAATTCGAATTGACTTGTATCGTATTCTTAATTTTAGTGGGAGAATATCCCAACGAGGATTTTCTGTATACCCTAAACCTCGAACTCGAAACATATTTAGATGATACCAAACTACTTACCACTTAAATCAATTATATTGGTAATTCATTTTTTTCTCTTAGTGGAGTGTTCAAACTGAAACTAAATTATGGGGGGGTTTTCCTTTCAAGAAAACTAATGTTATTTTTCCATCATTTCTTTGAAACTCTATGAAAAATTGTTCAGTAAAATTACGTCAATAGATTATTTTTATCAAAATTATTAGTGTAAAAATTAATTATTAAAAAATAAAATATGATTTGAACTATTTTTCAATTTGTGTGTATTATTCTTGTACAGGAGTGATGTTACCATTTTTTGTATGTTCTAGTTTTATTAGAACTAACAAGGTAAATGGATAATGGGTTTTTAGAAACTAATTGGGTGCTACATGATGCAAAAATATGAGAAATTTATATAGGATTATGTATTGCGCGAGAGAGAAATTTACGGATGATCACGGCGATAATAAAGATGTCCTCCCCATACTTCAATAAGAACCTGGAATAGGGGGGGGGGGTTTCAGCGATGGTGCGCATATACATGATATTATGCAACGAGAATGGAGTTTACAATTAGATACGTGCCATGGGAAACCGGTGACTTAGCTTGGAATCTACTTGTCGGAATTCACACCTTCCTGGAGCCACCGGCAGGGGTCCGAGGTGCTTTCCATGAAGATGCCCAAACTGCTATGATCGCATAATGACTAGGCTACATCCTCTGTGATAACAAAATAAAATATACTCATATAAAGAAATAGTTAAAATTCAATCATATTATTTAAAATTTGTATAGTTTTAAACAGACATCATCATCAATAATAAAGGATAAGTATCATCATAAACATAAAAATTCATATAATGAAGGTAAATTGACAAACTGATTTTTTACAACTAAACCCAGATCCACCGCTGGTAGTTACGAAAATAAAAAGATACAACACAAAAATTAAAATATATATAAAAAAGTTAAATAACTGAAAGTAAAGGAGAAAATAAAGGAAAACAACACTGATTATGCTAAAGTATGACTATATGGGTGAGAGTCGTTCGGTCGAAGACCAATGATGCCATTTTACTAAACAATTAAGGAAAAAATTTAGAAAAAAGTGTTTTTACTCAAAAAAATATTTTTTTATTATTATTTTCTTAATTAATCTAGGTAAATACAATGTAATATTTGTTCAAAGATAACTTTCAATAATTTGACATTGAACGTTTACACCCTTGACATTCATGGTACTCGAATCCGAGACATCAAAGAATAATAACAATTCTTTTATCACTGATGTCGATTAATTCGTACAAAAATAATTTTATTAATATTGTTATTAGATACATATTTTTTTGAATAATTATATATATTTTTATTAGTCTGGATAAATATAAGTTAGTGTTTGTTCAAAAACTCTTAATCATGTGACATTGAACACTCATACCCTTGCATACATAGTGACCAAACCCAGAACCTTAAAGAATAACAATAAATTCTTAACAACTGAAATCGTTTGGTTCGTACTAAATAATTATATTTAAGACGATAGTGACCTAATTTAGATGTATTTTCGAAGAAAAAAACATTATCATGTAATATTTTAATTTTTAAAAACATTAAATCAAATACACTTGAGTAATAATGGAATTGAACGCACTTGGGAATAATCAAACTAAAATTGAACCAAATTCAATAAAACCAAATCAAATAGTATAAGCGAATATTGAGTTTTTAAAAGCCAAGTTATATTTGACAAATACTTTTGAATGGAAGAAAAGTGAATGAAACCACATGGATCATTGAAGCAAGAGCAGAAAAAAAGAAAGAGTGTGGTCATATAATTCTTCACGCTGCATCTACCGAGGATTAGGTGTTGTTTAGCTGTAGGGGGATATACCCCTACTCTCACTTGCCTTAAAAGCCTGGTTTCATAACAGGCAATTAGATGGAAACATTCGTTGGGGCTCCCATTCTAGGTCCTCTAATTTATTGGTCTTTAAATACGTGGACCAATGCTAATTTCAATACATGATTAAGATGGAATTTAGGGATGGGCATGGGTCGGGTTTCAACTAACCCGACCCGATCAAAAAATTTTACATCATTCATCTTATCCGATCCGACTCGAAAAATATATACCCTCCACTCGACACGATTCCGACCCGATTTTTTAGATAAAATTCGAATCCGATCCAATCCGACACAAAATAATAAAAAATATTATTTTTATTTAATAAAAATAATGATTTAATTAAAAATATATATATAAAGAGTATTATTATAGTTATTCCTAAATATATAAGGTAAAATTATATTTTTTATGGATCGAATCAGATAAGATATTTTTCATCTTAAATTCATTTTTGTTTCATTTGCTTTTGTTGTGACGAGTTTCTGTTTTTTTAATTACTGTGATGAGTTTCTATTTTCTTTGATTTGATGTCATAAATTTTTCATACACGAACGAACCACGAATTAGAACAAACAAATTGGAACGAGATTCGTTCGGCTGGAGAGCGAATTAGGTAGCACTAGTCTAGGATGTAGGTTGGCATAAGCTAAAACGCCCCCCCCTTCGAAGAAAATAAAAATCATGTCATAACTTGTTTAATTTTTTATTGACAATGAACATACTCTGTAGACACAATTATTTAAATTCATGTTCTCTAACTCTCTAGAGAGAACAACACTATTTTATACAACCGAAAACACTTAATATACTCCAATTTTTTTTCTTTTGAATGTTGAATAATGTTTTGCATTGTAAATTTCTTTTAATAAGTGAGCTGTCTTGGTATGTATCATTATATATAAAATGTTAATGTGCTGAGGATATCAGCATGATCTGGAAAGGGGAAGAAAAAATATGCATTGAGAAGCAATTTCTCATAGAAAACTTTGACCAATGTGTATCTCATAAAGATAACATGTAGAGTAGGGAGTGGGTTCATACTAGTCAGAGTTGCCAAATCCTAATGTTTATCTTACTTTTTAGGACTACTCAGCTGCCTAAATTGATATTTTTTCTATTAAAAAAAACTTGACGTTTCTTAAAATGACATAATACCTTGTGAAATGTGAATTATTTATACTAAATGTGAAACTGTAACCACTAACCACCATATTTTTATCCTCCCTATTATTATTATTATTATTATAAATCAAGCCCATAAAAATATATTATTTTTATGTGGAGTAGGTTATTGGGTTATTTGTATTGGGTTTACGGGTAGACAGATTTGGTCTTTAATAATCTGAACATTTATTTGAATTTATAATGTTTAAGTGATTCGGTGTCAGATCTTCACCATTTTTCTCTCTTTGAACTGACAAATAGATTTACGACGATGTAAACGACCTTCTCCTAGGCTCACATGAAATCTAGGTGCGCAGGTATTTCAACCAAGTGAGTGGTACAACGTCTTAGTAGGAGAAATACTTGATGCTAGTTCGAGGCCTAAGGGTCTTGTATCGTGTTCTTATATGAGTTGTGGTATTAGACTCTAGCTTTCACTCTGTCCCGTGGGATCTTCTGTTCAAAAGTCTGCTTCATTTGCAACTATATTGTGACTTGTGTACTAACACATAGCTTCTTTGTTTTAAACAAATTATTATGAGAATGATTGGATTACTAAGAGATCATCTCTTATCAAGTATTGCAAAGCTTTATCACCGAATAAATGTAGACATGAATCATTAAAGATAATACTTACTTTTTAGAGGAATATATCATAATAATCGAGAAGATAGATTATATCTATGACACTATGTAGAGTTTAAATATAATGAATACTATTATTTTTTTCACCCATAATGTTGGTGAAAAGTATTTATATACTAATATTTACAAAAATATTTGATGAATGATGTTAGTGTATAAATATATTCATCTTGTGTTGAATCATTAATGATAATTTTTATTTATTTTATTTAAAGATAATATACAATTATAAATTAAGAGTGGAAAATATAATAGCAAAATGCCATTTACATCTATTTTTTTTTCAATTGTACCCTTGAGATTATCGTGCATGAGTGGATAGTAATGGGGCCAGTGGAGTCCTCCCCCTCCTCCCTCGAAATATTTTAAAATTTTGATATTTAATTATTTAAAAAAATTTAATTTAAAAAGTCTCGAGTTTGATGTATTGTGTATGCAAAAAATTCACACTAAAAAACTTACCAACTAAAACTAAATGTATGATATAGGTCGATTCGAATTAATCAAAGAAAAACTATGAAAAATCGGGAGGGCAACCAAAATAAATTGTTAAAAAAAGTTAAAATCTTAAATTTAAATTATAAAAGAAAAAGCTTTTAAGTGTGCGTTAACGGTCTTTCTACCGTTATGCGAATAATATAATATTAGCAAGGAAAGTAAGATGATTTCCCTAAGCATGAAAGGAAAAAAAATGGATCTAGTTTTCCCTTTGAAAAGAATTGCAAATCATAAGCAATCGACTTGCAAGTTGAAGAAGCGGGAAAGAGCCTGAAAGGTTGAGTGAGTATTCAGCTACTGGGCTTGTGCAACCGGTTTATCGGATCCTCCTTCTTCTTCTTCTCCTTTCTCGGCTGCGTCTTCGGCTTCAGGTTTTGCTTCATCTTCATTTGGCTTGGTTTCAGAAACTGGTTCAGATTTCCCTTCGGCTGAGCATTTCTTGGTGTTGGATGTCTCGGTGAGATGAGAGTAGCTGCCTTTCTCTTTGAACAACTGAGAGAAGTGATGCTTGCAGTAGAGGAAGCCCTCCAGCGCAGCATATGTTGATGGTGTAAGAACACATCCCCCATGACAACACCTGAAGCATGATTTATGGTAGTTTTCTCCCTCCACAGTCACCTGTTTTTATTCATCCATAAATATCCACTATAATGGATTAAAATCAATCAAAGAATTGGGGGGGGGGGGACATCTTATAGCTGACCTTCTCTAGAGGGTATGCGGTTTTCTTACAAACTCCACATTTGTCTTGTGTGCCAGAGAAGAAGGATGCAAATTTGCCAGGAGGCTTTGCCTGCTGAGGTAAAGTAAACAAACAACACATCAATTATATCGAAATAACCCTAAAAATGGTGGCAATGAAGAGAGGAAATTGGAGTACCTGTGCATCTGGCTTGTCCGAGCATTTTCCATCTTTGTTTGTGTATGTGCCGGTCTCCTTGAAGAGTTGCTCGAAGTGAGGTTTGCAATATAGGACACCATTCATCGAGCAATAGTTGCCAATCTGTTTTTCAAGAAACGTGCAGAAAATTCATCAAGCATTGAAATGCTGAGAAAATTTTGCAAAAAAAAAATGAGACATACCACCAGCACCCCATGGCAATGGGTGCATTTGAAGCAAGTCTTGTGATAAGAAACGCCATCCGCTGATAATAAATCAATAATATGAACAGTCTTATCACAAGCCTTGCATTTCTCTGTTGTCCCACTGAATGTCATTTTCCTCTTTATTTATATTTGCAACAGAAAGCTTGTCAACTGTTGCAGAGGGGGAAACGCAAAATTAAACAAAATTCTGGAGGAAAAGATTCAATGGAATAATTGCAGGATGAGTGTTTCAGCTTTGGTTAAGCGAGTTTAAAAAAGGGCTGATTCAAGGGTAAAAATGTAAATGTAAATAAAAAAAACTAGTGGAGGATATGAATTAACGTAATTAAGGATGCGTAATCGAAGGTACTTCCTCCATGGAAGAACGGAGATAAACAAGGTTTTCTTGACTGTTATACAACAATCTCTCGTTACAAAGCTTGTTCATTCTTTGGGATGTATACTTAGTTATTAATTTTATATAAATAAATATTGTATACCATCCTCGCATCTCAGTCAAAGTGTATGGGTTACGAGGAGGAATTTTTAGGTTAATATTAATATTTGTGTAAACTATGCAAATGATCATTAATGTTTGAGTAAGTTTTCATTTTCACCATTGAGATGTTAACATCCGTTAACAGAAGTGACGAAAAACACAGCTGGAGCGTTAACTATTTACATAGATTGGGTTCATCGCCACGTTTTTGAAACTTTAGTGGGGAAAACGAAAACTTACCCAAACATTAGTGACCAACTGTGTAGTTTTGTCACATCCCAAAATTTTAGAAAAAATGAATTTAAATAAAAGAGTTAATGTGGATGAAATTTAGGGATTAGTTTGTAAAATATTGAAGCTATCATACCATTTTAGGAAGTTTCAGAGAATTCAGGGCCTAGAGCATGAAATTGCCCATTTTTATTACCCAATAAAATAAATTACCCGATTGGGTAAACCCCAAATTCCTCCCAAATTGAACCAAATCCCTAACCCCAAATAATCTTTCACAACGATTTCCTTCTCGTTCCAAATACGCCGTCATCCAGCCATCTCAGCCCGTGCTGCCACCACCGAATTGCTCACCATCGAACGGTGATTAAAACCCAACCCCATCTTCATCGAGAAACGGCGTCGTTTGTCGTGGATTGGCCATCGAAAAGTCGTCAAAAGCCGTCGAGTGTATCTTCACCGATTACGGTCGCGTCCGACGTTGTTTCGCCTCACCGCCACTTTCACTGCACTCACCGGTGTCGTGCGAACAAAATACGACCGATTTTGTTCAGTGTTGACACGCCGTCATCGATCGTCAGGGTGGGTAAGTTCCAATCGATTTTTTGGTAATTTTGGCTTGGTTTGAACGTGTTATTGGATTGAATTTGGGTGAATTTGAGTTCATTGATGTGTTGGAAGTGATCGGCATGTGATAATGGCCCCTGTCGCCGCCGCATGTGCTGGCAATGCACGTGGGGGTCTTCAGCCAGTCCAAGAAAATTATGGAAATCGGTTCGGGAAGAACCGACCCGCCTGCCCGACCCGTTGACTTGACCGAACCGTTACTTTGACATGTCTAACTGCTAACCGTTAACTTTGATCGAAAAAGTCAAAAATTTCAAAAAGTCATATTTTATGTTTTTCGACGTCCTGAGTCCGATTTTGAAGTTCGTTTTGCCAAATTCTAACCCAAATTTACCGTCAAACCCAAATATGCATATGTAATTAAATGTTTTAATTTTGAGAAAAAAAATTAAAGTAAGACTTGGGACTGATTAATTGTAGTTACTTGAAGGTACTCGAGACTTATTTGATCGTTCCCCAGCTCGACTCAGCTCTTCTCAATCCGTTAGGCCACGGGAGCCGATAGTCACTCGTATGAACCATGAACTTTTTGAATACCTCGATTTAAAATATTACTTCGATATTAACTCTGATTACTATGAATTAGGTTCGAGCACGGTAGTAGAGCGTGACGAGACCGATGCTCAGTAGTTTTATTGTGTGCCCTATTTTACGAGGTGTGTTCCTTATGTGCTACTCAATTGTTTTATCTGATTTGATATATGTGTTTCACTGAAATTTATGATTCAATGGATGATGGTTCATGATCTATGATGGAACGATGCATAATATTTGAATGATTGCTTTCACTAGACGATATGATTTTTACCGAATATGGATCATGGAAATTTCTTCTTGTCATGTGAACTGTTTTATTGGGATATTATCTGGGTAGGCTAAAGTATGGAGGTTCAACTCTGATCGAACTGGTAAATCCTTACGGACCTAAGGCGACTCTTGGGTAGGCTCTCTAGCCCCAAGATGCTCCCTTAGGTGGTTCCTTATATCTAATGGGTATAAGGTGAGTCATATGGATGTAGTTATGGGGAACTGCATATGGTGTACGGGAGGAGGTATATTACGAGATTTAATAACTTATGCTTTATCAGGATTTCCATGATATTTTACTGAACTTTTACTTGATGGTTTTGTATATTATATTTTTATTGCACTAATGGGACACACTGAGCCCCTAGCTCACTTTTCAAACTATTCCCCCTTTCAGATACTTGTGGATAGGCACCTGAATCAGACACTCGGAGGATCGATACATTATAGAATAACTTTTTGTTGTAATGTTTCTATCTTCCGAATTGCTTTTAATTATGTGACATGGGCCTTTATTTTGACGTACTCATTTTATGATGATGATGTTTATGGATTTTGCTACTGGTACTTGGTTTACCATACTTCAGGTTTATGACATGTTTTGTTCTATGTAATCGTTTTTAGTTTTCTATTTACGAGTTAAACTTTTATCATTATTTATTATACTTTATAAATGTCAGTTGTAATATGGTTTTAAATTATCGAATAATGTTTTTGGAAAAATGTTTTAAGAAATTTTAATGTAATTTACTAGACTTAGTTGAAACACATAGGTTGGGTCTAGGGGGTTACAAGTTTACCCTAATTAATAAAAGGGGGAATCAAGGGTTTCATTTACCATTATGAATCATTTTTCTTCTTCCATAAAAACGTTTATTCTTCTTCCATAAACATTTTCTTCTTCTTCCATAAACTCACTGCTTTTTCTTCCATAAACTCGTTTATTCTTCTTCTTCCATAAACTCGTTTATTCTTCTTCTTCCATAAACTCATTTCCTCTTCTTCTTCTTCTTCTTCCATAAACTCATTTCTTCTTCTTCCATAAACCCATTTGTCCTTCTTTAATTCGTCTGAGGGAAAAAGTAGTGAGAAAAACTATTTCTTCTTTTTCTATTTGTCTGAAAGAAAAAATAGTGAGAAAAACGAGCAAAGAAAAACCATCGTACTTACATGGAGGTTACAACAAAGGGGGGACAAAGCTATGCTTTATGGTAAGCTTCTTTTGAGTTTGATAGAAAATAAAAAAAACAAAACCTTAGTTGGACATCCACAGTTGCAAAGCGGAACATCAATGGAGTCTTTCATCTTCACAGGATTTTCTCGTCTCTTACAATTTTCAGATTTTTTAAAGAATAAAGATAGGAATGAAAAACCCTAAATTAAGTTTAGGGATTAAGTTTTTTTAAAAATGAGAAGAGGTGATTGTTGAAGGCTTTGGGTCTCCAACGTGGCGATCAACCCAGTCAACCCAATCCATGTAAGTAGTTAACGCGCCATCTATGTTTTTCGTCACACCTGTTAACGGTTGTTAACGTCGAGTGACCAATTTGTAAATGATAACGTTAGTGACCGATTTGTGACTTTTGAAACATCAGTAGTGAAAACAAAAACTTACTCAAACATTAGTGACCATTTGCGTAGTTTACTTTTAATATTTTGTATAACTCTTTAGTTTTACATAGATTTAGAACCGTTGGATGAGTGAAAATAGATGGTTGAGATTAACTCTTTGTTTTTTTCCAATTAACATCTTCTCATTTCCTATTGTAAAATTTGAAAGTTATAGTGTTTAAATTAGGAGTAATTTTAAAGTTAAGTAATTAAATAAAAATAAACTTCACTGACCAAAATAGGAGTGATAAGATAGTTAAGTGATGAATGATTTAATTTACCCATAAAAAAGTGTCATGTTGTAACAGTGCTGTTAAGATTTTAACGGTAATGTACCAAAATGAAACAAAAAGGAAACATTAGGTATTATTTTGAAACAAATGAAAGTTTAGGTACCAAAGCGAAACAAATTTGATAGTTTATGTATTAAATATATAGTTTGCCTTATAAAATAATATGTATTCAAAATTCTTCTTAGTTATTGAAAACACATATATATATTTACACGCTGCAGACGTAGCTGCTCAAATCTGGAACCTCTAAAGAAAATAACAAATTATATAGGTTGTGATTGAAGAAGAGAGAGAGAATAAGCCATAGCTAGGAAGACTTGAAGGTAGAGATAGACCGAGACGCATTTTAAAAAATTCAAATTCCTCTATGTTTAATTTTTTTTATTTCCTATTGATTATTTAATTTTGTACATCTTAAAATTTTACAATTATGTGAACCTTAAAATTTTAATATAACTTCTTAAATTCACACTCTTAACATAAATTTACACATCTATTCTTGCTGAAAGGTATCCATTTCCAAAGGAGGAGTAGCACTAGCTTCCCCAGTGTGAGAAACCAAGTTGACAAGAAAATCGAATAGGTCAGTAGCGATAACAGCGAAGGCAACATCCTCTTTGTTAAGCGTCCTCCTCTTCCCTTCCATCGTAGCCCTCCACGACCTTTGCGTAAGCTCCTTTATGAACAGCTCTCACGCCTTCGACAACACGATCGGAGACTCCCCAGATATCATCTTTATCCCATCACCAGACTTCTTCATTATCTTCTTTATCCTTGCCAACGGCAACAAATGCGGCCCCGTTTTACCCCTACACTATCCCCGAATAACTCTCTGCATGCCTCATCTCTCTCTCTCTACCCTTATTCTTTTCGAAGAATATGAGTTTTTCAAGTTTAATATTAATGGTGAAACTAACGTATATATATAGAAATATGAAGGGGTGCTGGCCAAATTAAACTTTGGGTATAGTTTGGACGTTTATTTTTACATTAAGTCTTTTCAAAATTATACCTAACATTTAGTTTAAATTTCATTTTGGTATCCCGTCGTTAAAAACTTAACGGTGATATTGATGTGCCGTCATAAGATAAAATGCTACGTATAATGAGAAAAAAAAATAAAAAAATATCACGTCAACAATTCTGTTATTTTTTTAGCGGCCAAATAGCAAATTGAAATAT